ACTAAGGCTGCCTTTAAAGGGAAAAGTTTACAGTAATAAACAATGATAAAACAACAGTTTAACAAGAAAATAAAGTTTATAGTATGAAGTTTCAAAGAAACAAAGTAGCATAAGGAAGAAACAAAGTAGCATAAGGAAGAAGCAAGGCCTGCGCTGGTGGCTCACGCCTGTCATCCTAGCTACTCAGGAGGCTGAGATCTGAGGATCGCGGTTCAAAGCCAGCCCCGGCAGGAGAGACTGTGAGACTCCTATCTCCAATAAACCACCAGAAAACCGGAAGTGGTGCTCTAGCTCAAGTGGTAGAGCGCTTGCCTTGAGCTGAAGAGCTGAAGGACAGCGCCCAGGCCCAGAGTTCAAGCCCCACGACTGACAAAAAAAAAGGAAGACGCAAAGTATATTTCTTTTCATTTTTTGCCAGAAAGACTGGAACTCAGGACCAGATGCTTTGCTTATTGGCTGGTGCTCTTTCTGACCTACTGAACCACACCTCCAGACCCACAGTTCACTAGTGAAGCAAACGAAAGGGTCAAGCACAAATCTACTCTTCTAGCACTTGAATGCATTTCATTATTTATTTTTGTCAGTCCTGGGGCTTGAACTCAGGGCCTGAGCACTGTCCCTGAACTTCTTTTGCTCAAAGTTAGCGGTCTAGCAATTGGGCCTCAGTGCCACTTCCGGCCTTTTCTGTGTATGTGGTGCTGAGGAATGGAACCCAGGGTCTCATGCATGCTAGGCAAGCACTCTTACCACTGAGCCACCTTCCCAGCCCTTTACTTCATTTTAATTTAGATGAGATAAAAATTTCATCCATTTATTTTTTATTTAATAATAGACATTTTGAATGTCCCCATGGATCCTTTGAGTGTGCGTGTGCATGTGTGTGCGCGTGTGTATACACACATGTATATGTGTGCACACGTGTGTGCATGCTTATATGTGTGCATGCATGTGTGTGCACGTGTGCATGTGTGCGCATGTGCTGCAGTGTGCGTGTATACATGTGCATGTATGTGTGTGTGCATGTGTGCGTGTGTGCATGTGAGCGCACATGTGTGTGCGAGAGTGCATGTGCATGTGTGTGCGTGTGTGTCTGTGTGAGAGAGTGTGTGTATGTGTGTGCATGTCTGTGCGTGTGCATGCATGTATGTGCATGTGTGAATGCGCATACATGTGCATGTGTGTGCGTGTGTGTGCGTGTGTACATGTTTGTGAGTGCGTATATGTGTGTGCATGTCTGTGCATGTGTGTGCTGTGTGTGCACGTGTGCGCATCTGTGCGTGTATGTGCACGCATGTGCATGTATGAGTGTGTGCCGTGCGTGTGTGCGTGCATGTGTGTGCGTGTGTGCGTGCGCGCGCGTGTGTGCGTGTGCCAGCACGAGGACATGGACTCAGGCTCCGCACTGTCCTTTGGATTCCTCTGCTCCAGGCCGGTGCCTTCCCCTTGGACCCAGCTCTGCTCCGCGCGTTGGTGGTTGATGGGAGGTAAAAGTTTCACAGGCTGGAGGGTGTGTGCTCTCCACAGCCACCCACCCCGGCGCCCCCTCGGCTCTGTTCCCGCCGGCTGCCATGCAGGAGGGAGGCTGAGCTTGCCACGGCTCAGGCCACCCAGCTCGGTGGTGACAAGACCGTGCGCAAGGAAATCCCCGCCAGAATCATTTCGAAAATGGCATTTCCCCTCACCCCATGTTCTGGTGAGCCCCAAGAAACATATATCCCAGATTTCTGTGGTGATAATTATGATTTGATGATTGTGGACCTCAGGAAGGGCTAGGCCTGGTGGTGCCGGTGTGGGTGGTGGGCAGTCTGTCTGCCATGTTCATCTCCGTGTTCTTGGGGTCGTCAGACGCACTGGCCTCCTGGTTAAGCAAGCCCCAGGGTAACTTTCCTTCTCTAGGCAGAGCTGAGGCTTGCAAGTTCCAATATGTTACGTGGCAAGTACTTTTCCCTACATATGGAACTACTGAAGACATTAAAAAAACCCATGCCTAATAACAGACTTGGTTGCATGGTTTAGAAATGTCTCAGAAACTTTCCTGCCCGTGCTGGCTTCAAACCAAGATCCTCAGATCTCAGCCTCCTGAGCAGGGGGCGCAGAGAGTGGCCAGCGACCAGCCTGGTGTCAAGGCTTTGAGGCTTCTTGCCGTTGTCTGTGAAGACGAAGTGGCCCTCTCTGCAGACGGGGTGAAGCCGTCTGCCCTGGCTTGCCGTCCCTTGAGTGTGGGCCCTGGCTTGCCGACCCTTGGGTGTGGGGACCTCTGGGCAGGGAGCCACAGCCACTGGTTCTATGTCAAAGATCCTCTCTTATGCCCTTAGAAAATGGGAATAAGAGCCGGGTGCCAGTGGCTCACGCCTGTCATCCTAGCTACTCGGGAGGCTGAGATCTGAGGATCAAGGTTTGAAGCCAGCCTTGTATCTCCAACGAACCACCAGAAAACCAGAAGTGGAGCTATGGCTCAAAGTGGTAGAGCTGCTAGCCTTGAGCAAAACAGTTCAGGGACAGCGCCCAGGCTCTGAGTTCAAGCCCCACGACCAACAACAAAGACAGGATCAAGATTTCTTCAACAATAAAATTGGCATTTCTCAGTAAGGACGTTGGAAATGAATGCTGGGTAGACACTGAAGTCTCTCAGCAGTAGGCATGAGGCGCAGGAGAGGCCCTGGTGGGGGACGCAGTCCCAAGGCTCAGGTGCTGGTTGGTGATGTAGATCCGAGTTGGTGGAACTCTTGTGCTCCACAACATCTCTGATTCTGTTTCTGCTTCTCAGTGGTCTCTGAGACCCTGTGGCCTGGGATGAGGCTGCTGAGTTCCCCAGCCTCACTTTCTCCCTTGCAGTCAGGCATGGTCATGTGCCTAAACCTGGGAAGGCTGTGGTGTCCTCTGGGCTCTTCCTGCTGGCTAGAAGAGCATGTGCAGCCTGCACTGGAGCGGCCACCCTGGACCGCGGGGGGACAAGGAGACCAGTTATTCGAGGTGGCAGAGCAACAACTTAAAGGAATTCTGAACCTTGAGGACCGTAGGTCAGCCACACTAGTGCTGAACTGACCCCTCTGTCACTCCCATTCCCACTCATGATCGCGCGCGCTCTGATTCTCTCTGAATCTTCTTTTCTTGCAGCACTAGGGATTGAGCAAGTGTTCTACCACTGTATCATATACCTAGCTTCCAGAATTCCCATTCCCTTCCCTCCCTCCCTCCCTCCTTCCTTCCTTTTTCTTTCGTTCTTTCCTTCCTTCCTTCCTTCCCTCCTTCCTTCTTTCCCTCCTTCCTTCCTTCCTTTTCTTTTTTCTCTCCTTCCTTCCTTTCTTCCTTTTTCTTTTGTTCTTTCCTTCCTTCTTTCCCTCCTTCCTTCCTTCCTTTCCCTTCCTTTCTTTCTCTCCTTCCTTCCTTTCTTTTCTTTCGTTCTTTCCTTCCTTCCCTCCTTCCTTCTTTCCCTCCTTCCTTCCTTTCTCTTTCTTTCTATCTTTCTCTCTCTCCTTCCTTCCTTCCTTCCCTCCTTCCTTCCCTCCTTCCTTCCTTCCTTCCTTCCTTCCTTCCTTCCTTCTCTTTCCTTCCTTCCTTCTTTCTTTCCTTTCTTTTGCCAGTCATGAGGCTTGAACTCAGCACCTGGGCACTGTCCCTGAGCTCTTGCTCAAGGGCAGTGCTCTATCACTTTGGGCCACACAGCCACTTCTGGTTTTCTGGTGGCTCACTGGAGGTAAGAGTCTCATGGGGACTCTTCTGCTCTGACTGTCTTCCAATTGCAATCAGATCTCAGCCTCCTGGGTAGCTAGAGGTATAGGGATGAGCCCCTGGTGCCCGGCTCAGAGTTTACAGGCTAGAACAATGCACCAGCGTGTCTGAGCCACTGCTAGGTCTGTCTGTCGTCAGAGGGCTCCGGTGTTGGTCTGATTTGCTTCCGCTGCACAGCTCTGTCCTCCCGGGTCCACCTTTGCTACCGCATCCCTCATTCCTGGTCTCCCAAGCAGAGGCGGGGGGGGGGGTGCTGGCCCTCTGAGAAGCCTGGGCAGACTTCACCGAGTCGGAGCGCCTGTCTCCACAGCATTCCCTGGCACTGCGGGTGCCCCCAACCCCCACGACGCCCTGTGACCCCCAAGACGCTTCCTCACCCCACAACACCCGAGACACCCAGGGGCCCCTGGTCCCCAACTCACAGCTGTGCCCTGTGACCTCCATGACCTCACAGGGCCCCTGCTCTCCATAGCACCCCGGTACTGCAGGGCTGCGGGCACCCCACGGCACTGCTGGCGCCCTCTGCTGGACAGCTCGCGTGGTTGCAGGGCCCTCCTCTGCCCTGGGGTCTCAGTGCTGAGCCCCCTCCCCCGCACTCCAGCTTCCCAGCGAGCGTCAGGCCTCCTGGTCCGTCCAGCACCTTCTGGAACCGCCCCTCGCCCTCACCTCTTCTGGCCTCTGCGTCAGGTCAGTCCTCAGGCCACCGGGAGTGGACTTTGCTGCGGTGCCAACTGGGCTGCAGCCCTGGCTGGAGACTGGGATGGGTGGAACTGCACCCTTTAGGGTCTCCTGCAGACCCCCAGGTCCCCAGCTGTCAGGACAGCGGCCGGAGACCACGGGGGCCCTGAGCATCCCACCCACTGCCCTTCCCTCCTCTCCTCTTGCAGAATGGACACCAGGCCTGCAGGGAGGGGTCGGGCTGATCCGGAGGTGTCCGGGGGGAGGGAGGGAGTGCTTGTCTCTGTTATAGCCTAGGACACCTGCTTCCCCCAGGGGGTGCCCTGCACCCCATCTTATAACCAGATTTCTTCTGTAGGGAAGGGAGGACAAAGAAAGCAGGGTGGCCAGGGGAGTCTAGAGGCTTCGTCCAGTCTGGTCCCACCCAGACCTGGTTTCCGGAACGGTGTCTGAGCTCCTGTGGGCTGCAAGGGGGCTTCTGTGTCTGTGGTAGCAGCTGGCAAACACTGGCTCCTCCCAGAACACCTGGGGTGTGGCAGGGCAAGAGGGAGGAGTGAACTCACACGGAAGTCGAGGAGGAGACAGGAACGTGGAAGCCGTCTGGCCCGTCTGCATGGGGGTCACAGCCTCCCGCTGGCCCCAGACACAGAGAGCACGCCAGCATGCAGGTGAGCTCAGCGCGGCACAGGCCCACCTGCGGCTCCTCCCGCCTCTCCACCTCCCAGGAAGGCGTCTGTGGGGTCCTGGCAGCCTGGCCAGCCTGGGAGAGGGTGGTCAGAGCCATGAGTGGACTCGGGATTGATGGAGCAGGCTGGAGATGTGGCAGACCCACAGGGCCTGGTTTCCAAGTCCGGGGAACCCGGGGCTGGACGTCTGTGTGTGCCCTGTGATGGCTTTGCTACAGCCTCGGGGCACGTGGGGTAGTACGCATGCTGAGCCTCCCGGACAGCAGCGGTGCTGGGGGGAGAGGCCCAGGGGTCAGGGCCGGCCTGGGCGGAGGCTCAGGGTGGACAAGGGCGACGTACAGTGGACCTTCTGTTGCTGGGGTCCTGCTGTAGGCAGAGGCTGCCTGGTGGGACCTGGGGGTGAGCGTGCTAGGGGAAGGGCTTGCGACCCCCTGGGAGAGATTCTGCTCCTCTCCCGGGGCCAGTGCCAGGCGCTGGGCAGCGGGGCAGAGCCCATTGGAGAGGCTGAGAGTGAAACAAAGTTTCCACTCAGCACTCTGCTCAGGTGTGGGCCCCGTCAGCAGCCACTCCCTCTGCCAGGCCCCTCCTGGCCCCCCTGGGCCTGGCTCTGCTCCCTGACTACTTGGCCTGACCTAGGGTCCCCTGGCCACCCGTGCCTTGGAGGTGGAGAGAACAGGGGCTTGGGAAGGAGAGGAAACAGTCTCCATTGGCTGGGGTGAGCACTCTGTTCCTTAGAAATCCAGAGGAGTTGAGGTCTCAGCTCCCCGCATGGTCTGATCACACCCACCTGCTGATTCTTTCCACGGCCCCCACGGCCCTTGCTCTGGTCCGAGCCTCCGAACCCCCAGAGTGACTTTCCCTGATCTGGGTCCCGCCCACCTCTAGCCTCAGCCCTTGGCCTTTGTGCGGGTGAGGTGCTGAGAACTGAGTCAGAGGCATGATGTGCCGAGGACAGAGCTGCTGCCAGTGAGTCACCAGGAGCCGGGCCTGCGAATCCTCAGATGTGGTGAGGACCCAGTCCTTGCCGGGACTGTACTGAGACTGGTTCCTGAGGGTGTTGAGGGTCCAGCCTCATCGCGAACCGCAGCCCCCGGGCCAGCCCGCACACTCTGTCCGCCAGGAACGCTGCCCCACATTTTTGCCCCCCGCCAAAGGCCGAGCTCTGGGCACCGGTGCCTGCTGGGTAGACACCCAGTGACCATCACCCAGGCGTGCTCACAATGCCCACTCCCCTCCAGCAGCAGAGCCAGCTGCCTGGTTGGTATCTGGGGATGAGCGAGGGGCAGACATGGAAAGGATGGGCTGGGGGTGACCGACGGTGACTGCTGGAGGGAGAATGGCGAGGTCGGATGCTGAGGACTCTGGAGAGCCAGAGCAGGGGGGAGGGTGGGGGGAGGGGGGAGCAGGTGGGGGAGGCCCTGGGGAATCAGAGCCTGGGGGATGGGGTGGGCGTGAATGGCCTCTGTGCTGGGCACTGTGAAGTGGAATGGTGCCCTCGGTGGATGGTGAAATTGCAGCATGCTCAAGGGCCCTGTCCAGAGGGCCAGGAGTGCTGGCCGGCAGGTTGGGTGCAGCCTCAGGTGAGGGGCCACGCAGGAGGAGAGGACTCATCCCTCTGGTGTGCAGCTAGGCCGGCCAGGTGGCAGCCATGCCCCTGCCAACCCTGACCTGGAGGCCAGGCGGGAGGTCGGCCGCCCGAGCCGGGCTGGGGCAGGCTCCTGACCCTCAGGAGGGACAGTCCCTGGGAGCGGTGTCTCCAGAAGCTTCTTCACGCAGAACCTGTGGGCTCACCCAGTGGGACGGGTCCCATGAGCCCCAGGGCAGGAAGGACAGGGACGATGAAGGAAACTGCAGGGGCTGGACATGTGGCTTCGTCCACCTCTCTGCCTGCAAAGTGGGGTGGCATCACCCCACTATGCAGATGAGGAAACCGCGTCTCTGGGTGACTGGCCACAGCTGAGCCATCTGCCTGACCCTGGTCTGCACCAGCCTCTGAGGCCCCGGCTGAGCCCACACCCTGGGCCTCGGTGGATGGGTGGCCGGCGCCATGGATGAGGACGTAGGTCCTGGACATTGCCTCAACTGCACAACGCTCTCTACTCTCTGGGCGCCCGTGGCTCACACCAGCCAGCCTAGCTATTCAGGGGGCTGAGGTCTGGGAACCCTGGTTTGAAGTCAGCCTGGGCAGACAAATTTGAGAGACTCTTGTTTTCAATAACCAGCAAAACTTGGAAGGAGAGATGCGACTGGGGCAGAGCACCAGCCTTACGTGAGAAAGCTGAGTGAGGGCAAGAGGCCCCGAGTCCAGTCCCCAGCACTGGGGCACCACACGCATACGCACGTGCGCACAGCTGGGTGGATTCAGGCTAGCCGGCCCCTCTCCCCCCCAAGGGCAGTGCTGAGAAGCTCATGGTGTCAGGCTGGGGACCAGCGCTAGGAGGACAGCTGGGAAGATGATCTAGGAGGCTTGGGCTGTGGCCAGGGAGGAGACCAGAGACCGCGGGGTGTGGGGGCAGTGGAGTTTCAGGGCCGGGACCTGTGCGGCTGTGGGCTGGCCTGTGGCGGGGAGGTGGCTGGCACTCAGCAGCGGAGGGCAGCCCAGCTCAGGACAGTCTTTCACCCAGGCCTTCGAGGGTGAAGAACCCAGGCTCCCTTGTGATTTGGGCTCCAAAGTCCTGTCCAGCCTAGGGCTCTGGGCTGGCAGGATCTGCCTCAACACCCCTGCTTCCTGAGTTTGGGGCACACTGATGTGTGGGCCCTGGATGAGAGGCAATGACAAGGGAAATCAAGCTCGTAAGACTCCACTTCCCAAACCGGGAGAGAGACGGAAAGGGTGACATTGTCCAGAAAGACACGTGCTCATCACCCGACCTGTGGAACGGCCAACCCGTATCACCTTTATCATAACCATTTTAAAAAGAATTAACAAGAAGCACATACAATGTGTAAGGTCCATTCCTGGACGGTGAACAGACCTCACCCAGTACCTGCGTTACCTAGGCAACTGGGACACCTGGAAGAGGTCACATCCGCATCCGCTGAGGTCACATCTTAACCTGATGTGGCCACACCTTTCTCCCACCTGACCCCACTTCCCTTTACCTGGACACACCCTTCCGCACCCCCTACCCTATATAAGGAATAAACCGCGGCCAGACCGCCCTTTTTTTCTTTGCCAGCCGCGTGGAGTGCCAACCTTGCCTGGTCCCAGCAGGTCTACTGAATAAACCCCTTACCTGAATACCACGTGCGTGGTGCAGTTCTTACTCGGCCACCTCTTTTTAAAAACCTAACACAATGTATGTGTGGATTATGACCAGAGCATGTGATATGTGTCCTATAAATAATTAGTAAATGTTTTTATGAGAACCAAAGTAAATATACCACACACATACTATAACTGAAAAAAATCCATTTCCCTAACAAATTCATCGCACCCGACACCCACTTGAACTCTGTTGCCCAGCTGGGGACCAGGGGGCAGGCTGGTCCCGGGCTGCCTGACCTGTTTGATGGTTCTCCTTCCTCCCTGAAGAGGCGAGGGTGCCCCGCCCCTCCCCTGGGTCTGACTGAGCTGGGTTTCTCCCCTGATCCCAGATGGGAGAAGTTTCGGCTAGCAGGTGCCACACCTGGGCACAGGTGTCTGTGAGCTGACTTTGGGAGGCTGGGAGTGGCCAGCAGTCTGGGGTGTAATTGGGAGAGGGCGGGGGAAGACAGGACTTGGGCAGAGGGTGGGGAACAGGACCAAGAACCATGGACACCTAAATTGGCCCAGAGTGGCCTCGGGGCTGCCCGTCTGTGGGGCATGGGGGGGCGGGGCAAAGCCAGCCTTGCTCAGGAGCTGTACCCTCCAGGGTGCGCGTGGATCTGGGGCTCCAGGAGGCTTCAGATTCAGCAGGACAAAGCAAAGAGGAGCTTGGTTCAGTTGAACCTGAGACAAACGTCCTTTTGCAAGTCTAACCCAGACCATCACTGAGATACCCTAGAAGCCCTTGGTGTTGATCTGAAATGGAAATGTGACTGGGTGGCCCACATTTTACCGGCAGCCTTGAGGCTGGACAGGCTGGGGCGGTCTGCGGAAACTCCTTTCCGGAGGAGGCAGCAGGAATGTGGCTGGGGCAGGACAGGGGGAGGGAGGGGGGCGCAGGAGCAGGGGGGGGGACTGTGGGCAGGGAGGGGGTGGGGGCAGTGAGGGCGGGGGGGGGCAGTGCTGCAGGCAGGGAAGGGGACGGGGGGGGGCAGTGCGGGCAGGGGGAGGAGGGGCAGGGCAGTGCGGGCGGGGAAAGGGGCTGCGGGGGCCAGCAGGCAGAGCAAGAGCCTGAGTGGGCGGGGCAGGTGGCTGGAGGCCTGTGGAGAGACTCAGAACAGCCCCGAGAGCCTGCAGGCACTCTTTTGAGGCAGGCCCTCCCTGACCTGCCTGGCAGCCTCCCCCCCCTGCAGGACCCAGCACCTCAGGAAAGCAGCCCTGCTTTCCCTCAGCTTCAGCACTCAGGCACCTTGCTTGTTGAGGATAAAGCACGCAGCACGCAGCATGCAGCACGCAGCATGCACATGCAGCACACAGCACGCAGCACGCAGCACGCAGCACCCACCAGGATGGACTCACAGCACCCACTGCTCCCGTTCTGCCACTGCCACCTCCTTTGTGGTGCAGTTTTATCCCGATTATGAACATTCCTGAAAAAATGAGGCAGTGGCTGGGCGCGGTGGCTCACACCTCTTAACTCTAGCAGCTCAGGTGGCTGAGCTCTGCGAATCACAGTCCAAAGCCAGCCCAGTCAGGAATTAACTACCAAATGCTGGAAGTGGAGCTGGGGCTCAAGTGGTAGAGCACTAGCCCAGTGATATTACCCAGGCCCTGAGTTCAAGCCCCAGGACACACATACTCTCTCTCTCTCTCTCTCTCTCTCTCTCTCGCACACACACACACACACACACACACACAGAGTCAGGCATGGTACCACACAGAGACTTGTCTCAAAAGGAAACTAACAAAAAAAAGCACAGCTTTGCCTGTTGGTTGCTTTTCAGTTTACTGTTGGTTGCTTTTCAGTTTACTGTTATAAAATTGATATATTACATTGCAGGTAAACATCTGAAAGTCATTTTCTTTTTGTTGTTATTATACTTTATTTATTTATGCCAGGCTTGGGACTTGAACTCAGGGCCTGGGTGCTGTCCCCGAGCCTCTTTGTTTTCAAGGCTACTGTTCTACTACTTGAGCCATAGCAGTACTTCCAGCATTTTCTGAGTGGTTTATTGGAGATAAGAGTCTCATGGACTTTCCTGCCTGGCTGGCTTTGAACCGTGATCCTCTGGTGCCCAGCTAAATTTTTTTATTTTTATTATAAAGGTGATGCGCAGAGGGTGACAGTTATAAGTCAGGTAAAGAGTGCATTTCTTTTTGAACAGTGTTACCCCTGCCCTCGCTCTCTCCCAATTGAAAGTCATTAGAAGTAAAATAGCACAAGAGAACAAAAAAAGAGATAAAAAAAATAAAAAGTTTGTTTTCTGAGACGGCTTCAGACTGGCTGTGAGCTGTGGGGGTGCACTGAGCTCAGCCCCACCGGCCTCATCGCCCATGCTCAGCACCCTGGCTGCTCCTCTCCCGGCTCCGACTCCCAGTCCCGGGTGGTTGGGAGTCCCTGTTGCCTTGGCTCCCCCCGCGGAGTTCCTCTGTGCCTGTGCACGGCCCATGGTCCACGGTCCTCCTCATATGGGGTGAGGGGACCTTGTCCTAGCGCCCACATCCCATGGGGTCCCTGATGTCCAGTGACTCTCGGGTGACCCGGCCTTCCTCACGTGGTCAGGTCAGGGTGTCTGCCCCTCGGAAGGGGGAGGGGGATGTCCGTTTCATAGAAGGTTCCATAGCTGCTTCCCCCTCACCTTGCCCCGATGGGCTGGGGGCGCAGCTGCCTGAGCACGGCCCAGGGCGCCCCGGTCCGCGGCATTGAGGGCAGACAGGCCAGGCGTGGCTGGGGACTGCCCAGCCGCTCAGTGGGCCACCGTGTGTGCAAGGGTGTGCAAGGCAGGAGCTGTTGATCTGCCCGACTCCTCACGTGTGGGCACTGGCGCCTCCTGCCACCCGCCCCATCTTCTGTTGCAAGGTTGCCCATCTTCCCGTGGCGGCTGCTCCCGGGCTAGCGGGCTGTCCATGACTCTCCCCCACCCCCGCCCCCGCCCCGCCCAGCCCAGCGGCTCTCCCGGTGTGCCCGCGTGGACTCTGCATCATCTGTTTTGTGTCCCCCCCCCCGCCCCCGCCCCGCCCAGCCCAGCGGCTCTCCCGGTGTGCCCGCGTGGACTCTGCATCATCTGTTTTGTGTCCCTGACCCCCCCCCCCGCCCCCGCCCCGCCCAGCCCAGCGGCTCTCCCGGTGCGCCCGCGCGGACTCTGCATCATCTGTTTTGTGTCCTTGCTTCTGTGTGGCTCTCACTTCTGTGTCACCTCCTCAGTATCAGCCTCACTTCCACAGTTCTGGCCGCCCCGACCCCAGCTTTGTGCAGGGGTGGAGCCGGAGGGGGCAGGAGGAGCCCTCCACAGACCCCAGCCTCTCTCTATCTCCAGGGTGAAGACAGCCTCCAGGTCCTGGTGGGGGCGGAGGCCGACAGCTTCCCGCTGGTGGAGAGAAGCCGCACTCTTGAGGTGGGTCAGCTTGGGCCTCCGGGGCTTGGTGCCATCGCCCAACGCTGCTCCTCTTGTCCTGTACCAGGCCTTGGTCCCGTATCTCCTTCCCTCCCACCTCCTTCCTCCAGGCTGAGGCATCTGAGCAATGGGACTATGTCCTGGTGGCTGATTGGCATCCTCAAGAAAGCTTGAAGCAGGAGAGGCAGCAGGAGTTTCTGGAGCAGCTCCAGAGAAAGGGCTTCCACTTCAAGGTAGGTTTGTGCCCTGCAGGCCGGAGCCCGAGGTGGGGGCGTCACGGGCCAGAGGGCCGCAAGGACAGCCGTGACCTGTGTCCTGGCCCCAGGGGACAGGTCCCGGCTGCAGATGAAGGGAACAGGTTCCCATGTGGCTTCCCCAGGTGGTGGAAGATGGGAAACAGGTGTATTTCGGGATTCGAGCAGACAATGGGCTCTTTGACCTGTATCAAACGCTCCTCATGGAATCCGAGGGTCCAGCTCCCAGTGACAAACTCGCCAAGTCTGAGCCGGTCCCAGCCACCACAAGGTGAGAGGCTGGGTCCAGATCCCAGTGACAAACTCGCCAAGTCTGAGCCGGCCCCAGCCACCACAAGGTGAGAGGCTGGGTCCAGATCCCAGTGACAAACTCGCCAAGTCTGAGCCGGTCCCAGCCTCCACAAGGTGAGAGGCAGGGTCCAGATCCCAGTGACAAACTCACCAAGTCTGAGCCAGCCCCAGCCACCACAAGGTGAGAGGCAGGGTCCAGAGCCAGGGCTGGGAGTGCCCTGACCTCACCCCCAGACCGGGTACAGACAGTGCCCTCACCCCCAGACCTGCTACAGACAGTGCCCTCACCCCCAGACTGGGTACAGACGGAGTGCCCTCACCCCCTGACCTGGTACAGACAGAGTGACCTCACCCCCAGACCTGGTACAGACAGAGTGACCTCACCCCCAAACCTGCTACAGACAGTGCCCTCACCCCCAGACCGGGTACAGACAGAGTGCCCTCACCCCCGGGCCTGGTACAGACGGAGTGACCTCACCCCCAGACCGGGTACAGACAGAGTGCCCTCACCCCCGGGCCTGGTACAGACAGAGTGCCCTCACCCCCAGACCTGGTACAGATGGAGTGCCCTCACCCCCGGGCCTGGTACAGACAGAGTGACCTCACCCCCAGACCTGACGGAGTGACCTCACCCCCAGACCGGGTACAGACAGAGTGCCCTCACCCCCGGGCCTGGTACAGACAGAGTGCCCTCACCCCCAGACCTGGTACAGATGGAGTGCCCTCACCCCCGGGCCTGGTACAGACAGAGTGACCTCACCCCCAGACCTGGTACAGACAGAGTGACCTCACCCCCAGACCTGGTACAGACGGAGTGCCCTCACCCCCGGGCCTGGTACAGACGGAGTGCCCTCACCCCCGGGCCTGGCATGGGCAGAGTGCCCTCACCCCCAGACCTGCTACAGACAGTGCCCTCACCCCTGACCGGGTACAGACAGAGTGACCTCACCCCCAGACCTGGTACAGACGGAGTGCCCTCACCCCCGGGCCTGGTACAGACAGAGTGACCTCACCCCCAGACCTGGTACAGACGGAGTGCCCTCACCCCCGGGCCTGGTACAGACAGAGTGCCCTCACCCCCAGACCTGCTACAGACAGTGCCCTCACCCCCAGACCGGGTACAGACAGAGTGACCTCACCCCCAGACCGGGTACAGAGTGCCCTCACCCCCAGACCTGGTACAGACGGAGTGCCCTCACCCCCAGACCTGGTACAGACGGAGTGCCCTCACCCCCAGACCTGGTACAGACAGAGTGCCCTCACCCCCTGACCGGGTACAGACAGAGTGCCCTCACCCCCAGACCTGCTACAGACAGTGCCCTCACCCCCTGACCGGGTACAGACAGAGTGACCTCACCCCCAGACCTGGTACAGACGGAGTGCCCTCACCCCCGGGCCTGGTACAGACGGAGTGACCTCACCCCCAGACCTGGTACAGACGGAGTGACCTCACCCCCAGACCTGGTACAGACGGAGTGCCCTCACCCCCGGGCCTGGCATGGGCAGAGTATGGCCTGTGCTGAGTTCTGGCTCCTCTCAGCATCAGAGGGTAGAGGCCCTAGGTTCTGACCCACCCCTCGTGCGACCACCCTTCCCCAGTTTCCATGGGTGACAAGGTATAGTGATGATTGTGTTACTGAGGCATTCTGAAGGACACAGAATCCCAGCTAGGTGTGAAGTGAGGGGAGTGGGCAGGCCTTTCAGAGGCCAGCATCTCCCCCAAATCCCTCCATTCCAGTTCAAAGGCCCCTCTCTGCACGTCTGCACCCCACCTTCTGCACAGAAGCCTGGTAGGGAGAGGTCCCAGCTCCGCCACTTACCTCCCCTGGCATTTCCTGTCCCGTCCCCGCCCCCGCCAGGCGCCAGGGCTCAGCCGGAGCCCGGCCAGAGGGCATGGGCAGAGGGTGCTCTTGGAATCTGATCGTGGGTCCCAGAGCCGCTGAGACCAGCAAGAGCAACAAGAGGCAGCCCGAAGAGCAGGCAACTTGGTGGGAGCCTAGAGGTTCAGGCTTGGAGAATCTGTGCATTCATGGAAGGAGACACACACACACACACACACACACACACACACACACACAGAGGTACAGCCAGAGAATGCCCTCCACTGCGGCTCTGCAGCCCCATGCCTGGCAATGTGGCCATGGCCATGTCACCCAGCCTCTCTGAGCCTCAGCCCCCATGTAGGTAAAATGACTCACTGGGGTGTAAAGAGGGTTTGTTCTGGCATGTGGTGGGCTCAGAGGTAGGGGCAGGATTGAAAGGCGGGGGCTCTGGGAGCCAGGGCTGACAGCAGGAGTGGGGGTGGGGAAGGTCCCCGGCAGCGTCCCACCCCCAGCGGCTCTCAGAAGATCAGCCGGTCCGGCTGATCTGTGGGTTCAGGGCCTAGTGGGGGCCCTGCTGAGATGGGGGGGGGAAGGACGGGGGGAGGCTGGGCTGGCTGAGCGGCGTATAGCGGGACCGGACCCTGACCTCACCCTTGGGTTTCAGAATCCGAATTGTGAACTTTCTCCTGAACCGCACGACAGCCGCCGGGGGTGAGGCTAAGGGCAGGTGATGGGAGGCACGGCACAGGCAGCCCCTTTGCCCTCCGCCCCCTGACACAGGCCTGTGACCCCCAGACTCCTTCGAGGACTTGGTGAAAGGCGGGGTCTTTAAAGCCAGGTTTGCCCTGCACAAGGTGAGAGGTGGGCCGGCTCTGGAGGGTGGGGTCTGGGGCTTGAGGGTGAGACCCCAGCGAGCGTTCTGTCACCTAGGTCCACAGGGAGGACGAGCTGAAGAAGTGGGCGCAATGGAGAAGCCTGTTCCGTAAGCAGCCGATTGACACAATCAGGTAACCTTGCCCCCGGGAACCCCAGGGCCCGCCAAGGGGGCTGCAGCTGCCTGGAGGAGGAGGGGAGGCCTCGACAGGGTGGCTTGCCTGTAGGAACTATTTTGGCGAGAAGGTGGCGCTGTACTTTGCGTGGCTCGGCTGGTACACTTACATGCTGGTGCCCGCGGCACTGATGGGCCTCCTCGTCTTCCTGAGCGGGTTCACCCTGTTTGATGCCAGTCAGATCAGGTAGGCCAGGTGCTGGGGACTGGAGGCTAGGGCTGTGGGCTGGGGTGGGGACAGGGCCCCAGCACGACCTGGCACCTGGAAAGAATCAGCGTCAGCCCCATCCCTGGCTCCTCAGCAAGGAGGTCTGCGAGGCCCACAGCGTTGTCATGTGCCCCGTGGGGGAACACACCGGAGGCTTCCACGTGCTCTCGGAGACCTGCACCTTTGCGAAGGTCTGCTGCACGGGCTGGCGCGGTGTGTCTGCCGGGGGGGGGGGGGGGGGGGGGGGGGGGGGGGGGGGGGGGGGACAGGAACCGGGGTGCTCTGCAGAGCTGGAGGCCCCTCCCTGGGCACGGGCGAAGGCCTAGCGCAGCCTGTGCCTCTCCCCAGCTCACCCACCTCTTCGACAACGACGGCACGGTGCTGTTTGCCTTCTTCATGGCTGTGTGGGGTGAGTCTGCTAGCCTTCTGCGCCATTCTGAGGGCCGGCCTGAGCCCGAGGCCCTGCAGGGTCAGCCCTGGCATCTGCGCTGCTTTCCTGTCTCCACTGCAGCCACAGTGTTCCTAGAGATCTGGAAGCGGCAGCGAGCACAGGTGGTCCTGAACTGGGACTTGTACGGCTGGGATGAAGACCAGGTAAGGCGGGCCAGCAGCAAGGGTCATCGGCACCCCGAAGGCCCTGTGGCCCAAACCGTGGCCGCCGTCTGCGCTGGGTACTGCAGGAAGGCAGGGCGCGGTCATGCACCCCATGTCTGAGCTGTGTCCCCCATTCAGTGGGTTCTCTCCTGTCTGAGCGGGTCCACCCCTGTTGGAGGTGTTTCCTGCTGTGTCTGAGGCGTGTTGTACCTTCTCCCCAGGAAGAGATGGCTCTTGAGCTCATCAACTGCCCTGAGTATAGGCTCCGGTTTCACCAACACTCCTACCTGCGAAGCACCATCATCCTGGTCCTGTCTCTGTTCATGGTACTGCTAGGGAGTGAGGGGCGGGGCGAGCGGGTGAGAGGGCGGAGCGACAGGGCGAGGGGCGGGGCGACAGGGCGAGGGGCGGGGCGA